TCCCACACAATAATAGTGGGAGACTTTAACACTCCACTGTCAATATTAGCCAGATCAACAAGACAGAAAATTAACAAGGATATCCAGGACTTGAACTCAGATCTGGACCAAGCAAACCTAATAGACATCTACAGAACTCTCCATCCCAAATCCACAGAATATACATTCTTCTCAGCACCACATCACACCTACTCTAAAATTGACCACATAATTGGAAGTAAACCACTCCTCAGCAAATGCAAAAGAATGGAAATCATAACAAACAGTCTCTCAGACCACAGTGCAATCAAATTAGAACTCAGGATTAAGAAACTAACTCAGAACTGCACAACTTCATGGAAACCGAACAACTGGCTCTTGAATGTTGACTGGACAAACAATGAAATGAAGGCAGATATAAACATGTTCTTCAATACCAACGAGAATGAATACATAATGTACCAGAATCTCTGGGACACATTTAAAGCAGTGTCTAGAGGGAAGTTTATGGCAATAAATGCCCACATGAGAAGGAAGGAAAGATCTAAAAATCAACACCCTATCATCAAAATTGAAAGAGCTAGAGAAGTAAGGTCAAAAAACTCAAAAGCTAGCAGAAGACAAGAAATAACTAAGATCAGAGCAGAACTGAAGGAGTTAGAGACAAAAAAAAAAAAAAAACCTTCAAAAAAATCAATAAATCCAGGAGCTGGTTTTTTGAAAAGATCAACAAAATAGATTGCTAGCCAGATTAATAAAAAAGAAAAGAGAGGAATCAAATAGATGGGGGAAAAAACAATAAAGGGGAAATCACCACAGATTCCAGAGAAATACGAACTACCATCACAGATTACTACAAACAACTCTATGCACATAAACCAGTAAACCTGGAAGAAAAGGATAAATTCCTGGACACTCGCACCCTCCCAAGGCTAAACCAGGAAGAAGTCGAAACCCTGAATAGACAAATAACAACGGCTGAAGTTGAGGCAGCAATTAATAGCCTATCAACAAAAAAAAGCCCAGGTCCAGATGGGTTCACAGCTGAATTCTACCAGACATATAAAGAGAAGCTGGTACCACTCCTTCTGAAACTATTCCAAACAATACAGAAAGAAGGATGCCCTCTCTCACCATTCCTATTCAATATAGTATTAGAAGTTCTAGCCAGAGCAATTGGGCAAGAAAAAGGAATTAAGGGCATTCAATTAAGAAAAGAGGAAGTCGAATTGTCTCTATTTGCAGATGATATGATTGTATATTTTAGAAAACCCCATCATCTCAGCCCAAAATCTCCTGAAACTGATAAGCAACTTCAGCAAAGTCTCAGGATACAAAATCAATGTGCAGAAATCACAAGCATTCCTATACACCAATAACAGACTAAAAGAGAACCAAATCAAGAGCAAACTACCATTCACAATTGCTACAAAGAGAATAAAATATCTAGGAATATAACAAAGGATGTAAAGGACCTCTTCAAGAACTGCGAACCACTGCTCAAGGAAATAAGAGAGGACACAAACAGAAGAAAAATATTCCATACTCATGTTTAGGAAGAATTAATATTGTGAAAATGGCCATCCTGCCCAAAGTAACGTATAGATTCAATGCTATCCCTATCAAGGTACCTATGACTCTCTTTACAAAACTGAAAAAAACTACCTTAAACTTCATATGTAACCAAAAGAGAGCCTGCATAGCCAAGACAATCATAAGCAAAAAGAACAAAGCTGGAGGCATCATGCTACCTGACTTCAAATTATACTACAAGGCTACAGTAATCAAAACAGCATGGTACTGGTACCAAAACAGATATAGACCAATGGAATAGAACAGAGGCCTCAGAGGCAATGCCACACATCTAAAACCACCTGATCTTTGACAAACCTGACAAAAACGAGCAATAGGGAAAGGATTCCCTGTTTAATAAATAGTGTTGGGATAACTGGCTAGCCATGTGCAGAACACAGAAACTGGACCCCTTCCTGACACCTTACACTAAAATTAACCCCAGATGGAGTAAAGACTTAAACATAAGACCGAACACCATAAAAACCCTAGCAGAAAACCTAGGCAAAACCGTTCAGGACATTGCCATGGGCAAGGACTCCATGACTAAAACACCAAAAGCATTGGCAACAAAAGCCAAAATAGACAAATGGGATCTAATTAAACTCCAGGGTTTCTGTACAGCAAAAGAAATAATCATTAGAGTGAACAACCAACCAACAGAATGGGAAAAAATTTTTACAACTATCCATCTGACAAAGGGCTAATATCCAGAATCTACAAAGAACTAAAACAGATTTAAAAGAAAAAAACAAACAAACCCATTCAAAAGTGGGCGAAGGACATGAATAGACACTTTTCTAAAGAAGACATATTTGAGGTCAACAAATAAGAAAAAATGCTCATCATCACTGGTCATTAGAGAAATGCAAATCAAAACCACATTGAGATACCATCTCAGCCAGTTAGAATGGCGATCATTAAAAAATCTGGAGACAAGAGATGCTGGAGGGGATATGGAGAAATAGGAACACTTTTACACTGTTGGCAGGAGTGTAAATTAGTTCAACAACTGTGGAAGACAGTGAAGCTCAAGGACCTAGAAACGGAAATTCCATTTGACCCAGCAATCCCATTACTGGGCATATATCCAAAGGATTATACATCATTCTATTATAAAGACACATGTACACGTATGTTCACTGCAGCACTGTTTACAATAGCAAAGACATGGAACCAACCCAAATGCCCATCAATGATAGACTGGACAAAGAAAATGTGGCACACATATACCATGGAATTCTATGCAGCCATAAAAAATGATGAGTTTGTGTCCTTTGTAGGAACATGGATGAATCTGTAAGCAACATTCTCAGCAAACTGACACAAGAACAGAAAATCAAATACCACATGTTCTCACTGATAGGCGAGTGCTGAACAACAGGAACACATGGACACAGGGAGGGGAGCATCACACACTGGGGTATTGAGGGGGATGAGGGGAGGGACAGCAGGGGGTAGGAAGGTTGGGGAGGGATAACATGGGGAGATATGCCACATATAGGTGACAGGGGGATGGAGGCAGCAAACCACATTGCTACATGATCTGCACATGTACCCCAGAACCTAAAGTACAATAAAAATAATAAAAAATAACTAAGATTTAGAAAATCATTGGAAACCTTATAAATGAAAGATAATTTATAAATTCCAGAAAAAATGTAATTGACATTCAAAAAATGCTGCTTATTTTGTTCTTTGCTTAAGAGTCACATTTAAAAACTCACATTTAATTGTTCTGGATTTCTTTTGGTAAATCCAAACCAGACTTTTCATCTAGCTCAGAAGGTAGGGATACTATATAATACGAAAAATCTTAAGGTAAACAAGAAAAAGATGTATGACTTCACAAATTCCATTCTTCCAGTCTCCATGTCTTACTGTAAGACCTTGGCAAGTTTTAGCTCTCTGTACCACAGTTTCTTCTTCTGTAAAGTGGGGATATTAAGACACCTACTTCCCGGGACTGTTTTATGAATCACAATTTAATCACTTTGAATAGTGCCTAGCAAAGCAGCATCCAGTAAACCATGACCATGGTTCCTCTCTTATGTAAACTCAAGACAGAAAGTTCCTCACCCTGTTCTAAAGGTTTATCTAAAAGCTACTAGCAAAGTTGGGGTTGGATTTCAGCCCCTACTTTATTCTCTATAACACAAACCAACATTAGCTGCATAAAAATGAAGAAAAGAAGAAAAAATGATATTTAAGATACAGAATTTCAAGTATCCACTTATGTGGCTTTTCATAATGGGAGAGAACAAATTCGAAAAGTTAATATATTTATTACTACCCTTCAGCAGTCCCGAAAAGGATCTGAAACAGAATCACTTGCAGTTTTGTGGCATAAAAGCTCTCCCACAAATTACAAACATTAAAAAAATATAATTCATTTTCAGTGTAATATTGAGGCAGGGAGGTAAAAGTCTTTGAAGATATCATGAATAGAAATACTCAGAAAACATCAATTTTATTGTACCATGGTCTATGTATTATGGATATAAGACCTAGGAAGTTGGTCTAGAGTCCTTATCTACAGATCAAAATTACATGTAATAAAAATAGTCAAATATAGTTTTGAAGGATAACTACATGTTATTAGATATATCTTTATTATACACATCATGGACTCAATGTGATGACAGATCCTGAACCTCTAACTACTAAAATAAAACTTCTTTGTGACAATCCAATTACATTATCATTTATTTATGACATCACAATGGAAACGGGAAACACTATCACTTAAAAATTTTTGTCTTTTTAATAAAATAAAGGAATAAGAGGCACATCAGATCATCCTGGCTACCTCCTTAGTAAGAAAATCTTCGACCCACTGTCCTAAGTCCATTTTAAGGGAAGTATACAATTTCTACCGAGCACTATGTTTATTCACCAATCAATTTCCTAAATAAGTAAATTGCATAATGAACCCTAAGCAAGGCAAATTTTCTCAAGGAAAAAAAAAAAATCTTGTTCTACTATAATCTACAGATAAATCAAAGGTAGTTATTTTTAGCGTAGTAATTCATGTCCTCATCTTATTCTATGAACATATATATCTACTTTCTTGTAAGTCTTTCCCCATAACTGTTTTCATTTATTGCTCATTTCTACTCAGAATACTTATTAAAATATTTTTCAAAAAAGTTGTAAAGCCTTATTTTTTTCTTATAATGGATCCATTTCACTAAATATTTTTATACACGTATGTGTGTGTATATATATATATATATATAAATATATATATATATATTTATTACTTCTCTGAGGTAATTTGCACTGCAACATGGCCTTCAAAATACAAAGACTACTTAGGTTTTGAATGAAATCTTTTTCTAGCTCTTCCACATCAAAACCAGGGTATCCTGAAAAGCCAACAAAAATCATAACATCCACCAAGAGTCATGGGCTTCAAGCAAGTGAACTACAGAAAGACAGTGTCTTGCCTTGTCATCTCTCCCTCTTGCTCTATAATCCTTGTCCCTACTTGTAGAAGGTTTTTCACTCTTTGATATAGGATGTGCTCGGCCTACAGGTCCCCGGGCTCCTACTCCTGCCATTTCTTTCCTCAGAGGTCTTACTTCTCGATTGGCACGCCTGATCTGAGGTGGAGCTCTGACAAAAAAAAAATATATAAAAAAATAAAATTAAAATTAATCAAAGGCAAAAGTATCTCAATACTACCCTAGTCAATAAAAATTATTAAATCAAGAAGCCCGAAATCTAATTTTTTCACCTTTGGACAATTCACTCACGGCCACAACTATCAGGCTGGTTTTCCCAAATTCTTTTTTCTAAAATATACTAGCTGATACAATTATTAAATACACATACATGACATACATTCAGCAATTAATCTGTCAAAAGTAACTATTAATCACCAATAGAGGGCAACACAGACTATCCCCATTTAATAATCTTAACAGCACAATGGAAAGGCAGTAATGTTATTCATTACTGTCCTAAACCAAGAATAAGTAACTTTTTTGGGCAAGAAAGCATTAAAAGCTGAAAGAATAGGAACTCTAATATGTCTGTTTGTACAGTTTATTAATTTCTGTTTTACAACCAAGATGATTTTCTTCTATAATGGAAAATTAAACATTTCATTCATCAAATTACAAATGGCAGAGCTAACAATGAAATCTTCTTAAAGTAATTTATGTGTAAAAATATTCATGTTTTGAGAATGTCACAAACCACAGAATCATTCAAATTATAGTCCTCAAAATGTGACAAAAATGTTTGATAAATACATAAAAGTGTGCATTCAAAATAGCATATTTTGCTTCATCTGCTGTGGAACTTGTCTCCTTCAAACAGTAAGTTTTGAGGCATCTCAACACAGTTTTTGTCTCTTTTTGGTTCTTGGGTAAGGGACTCTATCACTTCGTGTTTAATCTTAGTTCTCTCTTGAAATGTCTCTACCTCTATTTTCCTACCTTTTCTTTCCCTATAGCTATGTATGTATCTGTAGCCCTTCAGATCCCATATGTGTATTCCATTTTTAACCACACGCCATATCTATTATTATCCCCTTTCCAGCCTCACACCTTTAATTCACCTAACTCATCACGGAGTTTCATTCCTTGCATCAGAAAAGGTGACACATACGCATAACTCGAAGAATGGAAAACGAATGAAAAGCCATGAAGGTTGCAAACTAAGGGCCAAAAGGGTAAGAAAAAGAAAAAAAAATGTGTTAACATGTTGCGAGTCTGATACAGCATATTTAGACGTTGGAATAAGACTACATCATGAAATTGCTAAGGAAAAGAAAGGCTGGTGAAAACCATATGTCTATCTATGAGGTTACCATACACTGACATCTCAATTTTTGCAGTTCAGTCCAGTTAAACAAGTATTTACTGACCACCCATTAGGTGGTATAGGGCCTCTACCTCACTGGCCCTAAGAGGAGACAAACACGAATAAGCAATCTTGTGAAAGAAATCCATAGAAAAGAAACTACAAACTAGTGCACAGTAATGGCTATGAGACATTTTGAAATTTAAAGAATTATTACATTATTGTCTTTAGGACATTAGTAGTCTTTTAAGCATTCTGCCTATAAAATAAAAATGTGATGAGTCTGGTAAAGAATAAAAGATTTTAATTGTTAAATTGCTCTATTTCTAGTATTTCAATGTGACCACTGTTTGACCTAACTTTTTTTTGTTTGTTTGTTTGATGAAGGGGTGGAAAGTAATGAAGTACAATTTTACTTTTATTTGTATGCACTTGTGTATATATAAATGTCTTTCCTGAATCAGATTTATGGGTATAGCCAAAGACAATAAAATAAGACCAACAATCTTTCCACACAGAATGTGCATCAAGTTTGCCTTTTTGTAAGCAGCTTCACCTGCTTTTTAAATAGTCTGTTTTCTTTGTGATCTGGTTTTTAGACTAAACAGCTAGCCACAGCCTCCACTCACCAATAACAAGCCATCCCCCCGAGCTGCATTGCTCGCCCACAGCTAAGCTTGCTCCTCTGGACTCACAGCTTAGGGTACACTACAGCGGGTCTCAGACAACATTCCTTCTGCTGCCTCAGCTTGTGCCTTCCCCAACTCAGCTTGCGATTCAACGGCCACCTAGGAGTTCTGCTGTAGTCCATTCTGCACACACATCCCACCGGGTAAAGCTGTATTGTAGAAGAATTGTTTCAAAGCTCTTACAGAGGCTACATTCTGAGTGTCTGCCATTACTGACCGTGTCCTGCCGCTCACTATTCTGATGGGCTCCTAAACAGTCTGAGTGAAACTGCTCAAGAAGCCAGATGTGTCATCTGTGGCAAGGCTCCTGTCTCACAGACGTGTGCCTCTGCTTTGTCAGTCTTCAGTTCCATCTCACTGCAACTGGATATTACATTTGTAACACACTCTGTGGGTTCCCCAAAGGACATCCTTGATTCTGTTCTGTACGTCTTTGTCCACTAGCGCATCACTGCACAGTGTCATGCTTCAGTTTAAGGACTCAGTGACAGCTTCCAGGCTATGTAGACAATAAAGATCTCAAGGCTTCTTTTACTAGTGTCTCTTTAAAAAGAGACTTTAGTAGGGTTGCATAGCATCATTGACCTCTGCCCTAATGGTCAAACAGAATGACACTGTACTAGCTTATAGCACTTCAAATTTAGAGAATAACTGGTTAGATCTGCAGGTGACCGACAAAAATATCTATATTGTGCTCAATTCCTCTATTTGAGATTTCCGTATAGGAATGAGAAGAAATATGCCTTATTCTATCACATACAAATCAGCCTCATTTCCTTCAAAATCCAATATTTCCTCTTTTTAAGCTGTATTAAATATCAACATTATATGTAAATGTTCTTACTGGTACTGCTTTATACAGTCTACATACAAGTCCTCTGTCAAATACATGCTTTGTAAACATCTTCTCCCAATGTGTCATCTGCCTTTTTTCTCTTTTTTTTTTTTTTTGCATTTTATTTTATTTTCAATTTTTTAGATTCAAGGATATAGGCACAGGTGCTCATTTGTTACGAAGGTATTTTACCTCTCTTAATGGTATCTTTCTTGATAAAGAGAAGGTCATAATTCTAGAAGTCCAATTTTTCAACCTTTAATATTTAATGCTTTAGTGGCCAGTCTAACAAATCTTTACCTACGCTGAGATTATGATGATATCACTCCCATGTTTTCTTCTAGAAGTTTTACTTTATTACTTTTAACATTAGGTATTGATCTATTTTAAGTTAATTTTTATATAATGTTAGGTGGGAAAGAAGAGTATCTTGATTTTTTTCACCCAAATGTATAATGAATTATTCCAGAAGCATTTACTGATAAGGTCCACCGTTTTCTACTGAATTTCAGTGGCATCTTCACAAATCAAGTGACTTCCCAAGATTTAATCCTTAAGGATAACTTCTGGTTCTAAAAAGGACTTTAGAATTTTTAAATTATTTGCTCTCAGAAGATTATAAACAAATATCCTAAGTAGGAATACTTAAAATATTACTAATTCTTTCAACAAATAGCTAAATCTTAGGGAATGCAAGGCACTGTGCTACCCAATGTAAAGGTTGGATTAAGGGTCATGTGCAGTGGCTCATGCTTGTCATCCCAGCACTCTGGGAGGCTGAGGCAGGCAGATCACTTGAGGTCAGGAGTTCCAGACCAGCCGGGCCAACATGGCAAACCCCATCTCTACTAAAAATACAAAACTCAGCTGTACATGGTAGTGGGCACCTGTAATCCCAGCTACTTGGGAGGCTGAGACAGGGCAATCACTTGAACCTGAGAGGCGAAGGTTGCAGTGAGTTGAAATCATGCCACTGCACTCCATCCTGGGCCACAGAGCAAGGCTCCGTCTCAAAGAAAAAAAAAGGCGGGGGTGGGGGGGTGGGAATTAAGTCTTCCCTCATCTAAGCAAATAAATCACATTCAGAAATATATTGAGCACCACAGACAACGGTAAGATACGAGTTGATATGAGTTGTTTTGTAACCCAAGGGTACTTTTTGTTTAGAAAACACTCCCAGGGGCTTACTTTGATTTTTAAAATATTCAATTTACTAAATTTAAAAATGCAAAAAATCAGTTTTTCCTTAAAGCTTTTAGATTCAGCTACAATTTTTTTTCTATGTACAAGCCTAGCAGATTTTAGAAGTCACTTTTAAGAAATTTTTTTCTTTAAAAAACAAAAACAAAACAAAGCCTCACTCACTCTGCCACCCAGGCTGGAGTGAAGCAGCACAATCCTGGCTCACTGCAACCTCCGCCTCCCAGGTTCAAGAGATTCTTCTGCCTCAGCTGAGATTACAGGAATGCACCACCATGCCCAGCTAATTTTTGTATTTTTTGTGGAGACAGATTTCACCATGTTGACCAGGTTAGTCTTGAACTCCTGTCCTCAACTGATCTGCCCACCTCGGCCTCCCAAAGCGCTGGAATTACAGGTGTGAGCCATTGCACCTGGCCCACCTTTAAGAGATTTTAAAATAATGCTTGGTCCTAGTTACAAACCTGGTTAATAAAATGCCACCAGAATTTTTTAACCAAATTTATAAACTTAATGTATTTCCTTCTTAGTTCTTATCTCACTTAGCAAAGCATAATTTACATATAATTACTTTTATAAACTTATAATAAATTAAGTTTACAAATAAGATAATATTAAATTTCTCCTAAGAGTTCCAATAAAGTACTTAACATAAATTTTCATGTATGAAAAAAAACACAAGTCTAAATTAGTCCATAATACATTTAAAGTGGAATTGCATGCATGTCGCCCTCGTTAGCCAATTTTCTTAAATATTCCAAGTACATAAAAATAAATATGCAAATATATACATATTCTTTAACAGAAAAATGTTATTACCATAGTTTTTATCCTCTTAGACATGTTTAGTCTTAATTTTAAATCTACCTGGAGTTAAAAGATCTGCTTAACTACTAAAGACGACACTTACCATCCAACTCAACCAAGGTAATAGTAAACCGGAAATTTCAGATGGTTTAAGATCTGAAGCTACAGATATATTTCTCACACCAAATATATACAATCCCACTTAATATGTTGGGGGTTGGATTCTGAGCATTTTGATATTACCCATAACAGTTACTTAAGCTGGGATATTTCGT